CTTTCCCTGCCCGTGTTTCTGTATGTCTCTCCACCAGGCGACCTCTCATAGCTCGGCCATGTTGACCAGTGAGGGGGCGCACACCATGGAACAAGACGACTCACACCATGGACCCAAGATGGCCTCCACCGCCACCAGTGCTGCCGCCACCTCCAGCTCAGATGGAGCAGAGACAATGACGGACACAGACATCGATATGGAGATGGAAATGGAGGACGCAGACATGAGCCGATGGACAGAGGCAGATTTCGAGGAGAAGTGCACATACATCGTCAAAGACACAGCATGGGAGGTGGGGCCAGACAGTGACACCACGATGATCACCAGAGCTGAAGCATCACTGCCTCGAAACCTGGCCTTCAAACACCCAGCTGAAAGCACAGAGGTCAGACTCAGCAAAGACACAAAACTTGAGCTCCAGTCCCAGTTTTTCACACACACCCAGGCAGAGAAAGCCATCTGTACACACACACACACACACGTGAGTCAGATGTGGGTCATGCACTAAGGAGGGGGTCGTGTCTCATCGTAAAGCTTTACACACATTACAGAGAGGTCTCTGTGTGTGAGAGGGGGTGTGAAATGCCTGAAGCAGAATTTACACTCAGACACACTGTAACAGACATGTGCTGTATTTGTGCCAAGTCTTCATCACCTCGTGTGCATCCATAAAAACTCATTCATCATCTGAGAAAACGCTGATGGCCTGAACCTGCACTACACATCCCAGCTGACAGAGGGCACAGTTCAGCATCTCAAAAGCCGAGGACATCAAACTGCTGCAGCCTAATCATGTTTAAGCTGCTGAATGACTCAGTTACAGAGGTTTATAATGAACTTTGACCCCTCAGATGCTTCATGTGCCAAATCTACAATAGCTTGTCCTGAAAAATGAAGCTTCATCTGATTCAGAGTGTCTGTAAATCTTTCTCAACTAACCTATCAGACACTGTGAAACCTTCTGACAGATAAGGCTTTTGCCATTGATCAGACTAGAGGTGAAAAAGTCCAGATGTTAAAGCGTCAAAGGTTAGAACTGAGGTTGGATAACAGTGATGTAATGCAGAGAACCAAAGGGGGAAAGTTGAAAAACTTTTTTTTTTCAGATTTGCATTTGAAGATATTTTTGATTTGAAGTTCAAATCTAAACTCTAATAATACTCTAAACCCAAATCAGAGCTGAATAGATGTTAAGGCTGTCAACCATCTCATTGCTTACGCAGAAACAGAGTTTCTCCTGCTGCATTGGCAGATCTTTTCAAGGCAGCTTGGATTGTAAAAGAGTATGACATTAGGTCAAAAGGCCAATACAAAGTGTTAGTTTAGACACTCTCTGTAAATTGACATGATCACATAGATTTTCTCATCAGGGACTTATCAACAGGAAGCTGAGGAAGGAACCAGAGAGAGTTTAAGAGCTGCTATGTTATCAACTAATCAGCTATCGGATAATCTGGATAGAGAGAGAAGGAAGGGAAAAACTAAAGATGGGAGTTTGTCACTCTGATCAAAGAGAATTAGGTTTTGGTTCAAAAAAAAAAAAAGAGCATTGTAAAAGGCTGTTAATAAATGAAAAAAACCCCGTGCACACACTAGCACAAACTTATGTCTGTTCCCATAATGGGGAAAGAGGAAAAGGGGATTTCCCATATTACAAGGGAACACACGGATTTGGAAAAGACATTTGTTTGAGTGGTTCATGCAAGAAGAAAATCAATGTGCATGTTTCTCCACCATCCATGTCTGGAGCCTGACGTCTAGTCACATAATCCGTCTTCTTCTTCTTCTTCTTCTTCCTCCTTCTCCCATTATTTGCACCTTAATTGAATAGGACAAAAAATCAAAAACAGAGAGAAACAAGTTTTTATCTCCTTTTGAACATCTTGATGTTTTCCCCCAAGTTTCTGAAGTGACAGTGGTTTTGGTTTGATGTGGCAACAACAGGATGAATGTAGAGAGAGAGGGAGATTTGAATGAAGATATTTTACAGTTTTTCTCCAATTACACAAACAAAAACTCTCCATTGAACTGGGGTGTGAAGCTGGTTCATACAACGTCTCTGTTAACAGGTGGTTGATAATGGGTGTGTCTTATTTATACCCAATAACTAAAGGATGCGCACAGCAGCATGAAAGCACACACACAGTCTATATCTACAGCAACCCATGTGGTCAAAAGCATCACTTTTATCACAAAAGATCTTTACATTTAAAATGTTAGAAGCTTAACCTTTTGTGTAACCTGCCTGTGTGCGTGTCCTTGTGCAGGTGGTTGGCGTGTGCAGCAGGGAGTACATCCCCAAAGGGACTCGCTTCGGTCCCCTGGTGGGCGAGATCTACACGGCCGACAGCGTCCCCAGAGATGCCAACCGCAAGTACTTCTGGAGGGTGAGTACACACACACATACGGAAAACTCATACAGACACACACACTTCCTCAGAAGCCGGAGGGACCCCTTCCTGTGACGTCTAAAGTCACTCAGTGGAACAGGAAACTGGGCTCGCTGTTTTTCTGTGTGCATGAGACAGACAGTTGGGGATATGATGTCACCTTCACACAAATAACATCACACTAAAGTTCCTGTAAGTCTGCACATACCATTTGGCAGAACACACTTGCCTCCATCACTACCGGTAACTGACAGTGAGAGTACACATGCTCACAAACCACCTACCTGACCACCACCTACACACTGTGTGTGTGTGTGAGTGTGGGGTGTGCTTAAGAAAGAGTCACTGTGCACCTAACCGCAAGCAGAAGCAGTAAATCAGAAAGGTGTTTCATTCATGCTCATATTGCACTTTCTCATTCACACACATGGAGCCAAATGAAAAAAGAGATCAAGATAGAGAGAGTGAAAGAAAGGCAGAAGGGGGGAAGAGAGGAAGAAGATGAGTTGATCCGTCCCTTCCTTTTTTAAATATAAAAGAGGACCTCCTCTTCATCGACACTGTACATCTGAAGGATATGATGGTGGGACATGGTGAAGAATGAGAGGATGGAGGGATGAGAGAGTCTGATTTATATTAAGATAGCTTGGATTCAGTCTTTGGTGGGAGGCACTTAGCTAGTCAGTCAACTTATTAATTATTTGGTAAGTTATTTTTTAACTTATTTACTTTTTAGGTATTCAGTTTTTTATGTTGTTGTCCAAACTCCAATTTTCTTACTTAATTCGTTCATTTGTAACTAATTGACTAGGCATTTTAATTAGTTTGTAACTAATCTGCCTCATGGTATTTTCCTTGAAAATTAGTTATTTTACTTATTTAAACAATTATTTATAGTGTTAACAACTTACTTTTATATTTACTTTAAAAATCACTTGCTACTTGACCTCGTCATACTTTACTGTCCCATCTATTCAGTCACATTCTCTCTCTCTAAATCAGTTAATCTGAAAAGTTACTGATGAGTTTACATATCACAGATTGTTAAAAATGTGCTTATTTCTTTTAAGACAACTTACTGTAAGTATTTTTTAAAACTTCTGTCCTCTCTGTTCTTATCAGAAAGAAAGAAAGACCAACTGAATTCAGAGCACAACCAAACAAAAAACATTTTTTAATTAACATTTCTTCCTCCTGGCTCCAGATTTACGTGGACGGGGAATTTCATCACTTTGTCGACGGCCTGGATGAAACTCGCTCTAACTGGATGCGATACGTGAACCCAGCCCACTCTGCTGCGGAGCAGAATCTGGCGGCCTGTCAAAACGGCATGGAGATTTATTTCTACACAGTGAAACCTGTCCCTGCTGGTGCTGAGCTGCTCGTCTGGTACTGCCACGACTTCGCCCGACGCCTCCATTATCCGCCGTCAGGAGAGCTGATGATGCAGAAACTCAGTAGGTTTCTTTGGGGTTTTCAGTATTTTAGGGAGCAAAGGTACATTCACTGACATAAACAGAAAATTGCCCTTTTTAGGAAAATGGAAAATAAAAGTTCATTATTTGCTATATTTTGTGTTTACCACTTGCAATAACAATCAAATGGCTTTTATTGTGAAAGAACAGGATTTTTCTAATTAAATGTGCTTTTAACATAAAAAAGAAGACCAACAGGCAGTGTACAGTAGGTGTGTGTGTGTTGAGTGCACCCTGTCGCCATTCTTAAAGCCCAGCAGTGTTTGAGTGTAACTGCGTCTCCTTCCTCTCTGAACGTTAGCCTGTCATTATCTCTCTCTCTCTCACACACACACACACACACACACACACAGACATACAAGACCAACAACCTTTCATCTCTGTCAGTGCCATCATTGTTTTTGTCTATATGTGTGTGTCACTGACAGTATAATTGCACAGACAGGGGGATATGGCCTTTAATGCCACAGTCTTACATACTTAAAGACCTGCTTTTAACATGAAAGCTTACATATACACACACTCACATACACAACCTTGCACCGTGACAGTAAAAGGGCCAGAGACTGTGTGTGCTTTCTGTGACTGTGCCTTCAGCAAATGCTTTGAGGAAAATGTCAAAATAGGCATCATATTTATGAGAAACACATAAAATGTGGCCTGACAATTGATCCTGTAAATGTTCATTTTAGCCAGAAACCTAAATCTCAATCTTAAAATCAAAAATGATTTAAAACAGTTTTTTGTGTGTGTTAATAAGGAAGGCAAATTCATTAGACACAGATAAAATGAACTCTTTCCACACACTAAGGACACAGTAGAATAACTGCATTTGTTCACTATAGTTGAATAGATCAAAGGCAGAGCAAGCTAAGAGGAAAACAAAGAGAGAAAGTGGGAGCTGAGTGGTTTCCAGGTGTGACTGCAGGCTAATAGCAGTGTTAATGTGGCAGAGGACCCAGCAGACCCAGCCTGGGCGACTCCACTGCCCAGGAAAAATGCGCATGACCTCAGGGACAGAGGCAGGAGGCTTCCTGGTCCCCCTGCCTGCCTGCCCACTTCCCCTCCCCACTCAAAGCTGGTGTGTGTGTGTTTGTGTGTGTGTGTGTTGTCTTTAATTTGCTTCCTCTATCATTTAGTTCCACAGGGTCCTATTGACCTGCCACTGACTCCAATACAGATTCTTACCTGCAGTAGGAAGACCTATCTGCACTCAGCTGCAGTTTTGTTATCGGTCTGTGCAGTTTATCGTTTCTAGACTTTTTTCCGTCTGATGAGCATACGTTCCTAAAATGAGTAGAACTTTTGACTGTTGGTGAGCCCCACAAGACTTTTAGCTTTACAAGCGGAATCAGAAATAATCTGATCGACTGAGTGAAACCCAGAAAGCCACAATCTTTCTTACTAAGTAACGTTAAACTGAAACCCAGTTAAAAGGGTAAGAGGTAAAAGAAGAGGAAGCTACTCTGAAAGAATGCAAACCAGTTACTCAGGTGAATGTGTGTTAGCCTAGCTGTAGCTTTCAAGTTTAGGTATTAAGACTGACTGTGAAGCAGAAGTGGAAACATGTGGTTTCTGTTCAAGGCAAACAAGAACACTTGCTCAAACATAAAATACAAAAAGTAGCTCCATGTTTTGGTAGGCTAGCTATGTAGCTACAGCATAAGTGTCTGTAAGAGCTTGTGTCATTTCCACTGGAAATGGTGCAAAACATGTTGATGATTGTTAGAACACACTGCACATCAATGCAGATTTTTTTTTTTTAGTTTCACTCTTTAGGCCTATAATTCAAGTTGGCTACTTTTTTTTACAGTTCTTAACCAGTTATCATTGTTCTCAATATTTTGTGCTCGCACATTTCTCTGAAAATCAAATCAAATCAAATCAAATTTTATTTTTATAGCGCCAAATCACAACAAAAGTAATCTCAGGACACTTTATAAAGTAAGGTCTAGACCTTACTATTATTATTATTATATTGGAAAAACCCAACAACCAGTCAGCTTAACTCAGGAGTCCAAATTCCAGAGGGCACAGGAATACAGCGTGATCAATTTGCATTTGGGACAGCAGCATTCTTGGCTGGCTTGGCTCTGTTGATTGCACTTCAACACAGCTTCAACAGAGGCTGCACTGTTGCTATTCAAGTATAACATTAACTTCCAGTAACTCTACCTCTAGACAAAATAAAGAAGTAGCAACAAAGATTTGATTTCATTTGTGAAACCATCCATTCATCCATCCATCCATTATCTATACCGCTTATGCCTGAATGGGGTCATGGGGGAACTGGAGCCAATCCCAGTTGACATTGGGCGTGGTACACCCTGGACAGGTTGCCAGTCTGCCACAGGGCGGACACGTAGACAAACAACCACACACACTCACACTCACTCCTATGGGCAATTTAGAGTCACCAATCAACCTAAGTTGCATGTCTTTGGACTGTGAGAGGAAACTGGAGTACCAAGAGAAAACCCACGCAGGCACAGGGAGAACATGCAAACTCCACACAGAAACCGGCTTTAACCTGGAACCTTCTTGCTATTAGGCGATAGTACTAACCACCACTGTGTTGCCCATGAAACTCAAGTATACCTTACAAAAGGACTTGCAGAGACATCATAACAAGCAGTGAACTACGAAGGGGGTTGCTGAGATGAGAGATTGTCTCCCCATTGTAATGAGAGCCATTGACTGGTCAGTTGTCTCAGCTGCCAGATAAGCGGTCTCAGAAAATGTCAGAACACTTTATACAGTCAGTATAGAAAGTATTCAGACCCTTTCAAGTTTTCCACATTTTGTTATATTTCAGACTCATCTTGAAATGGATTGAAATGGTTATATAAACAATTTATAAAGGAAAGATCAAAGAAGGCAGAAGAAAAATATAAGTCATATAAGAACAAATTAACTGAGATTTTGAGGAGATGTAAGAAACTATATTACTCTAAATTATTAGAGGATAATAAAAATAACATCAGAGGTACTTGGAATATATTAAATAAATTGATTAGAAACAGTTCTAGAAAGTGTAACTACCCACAATATTTTATGGACAATG